TTTTTCGCGATGTGGTCCTGAAAGGGCCTGTTGGGCAGTTTTCGGTTCTGCGACTTCTGAAGAATTATGCTGTACTGCTGCTGCGAGTCCCAGTATCTGAAGCCCAGTTTGATAATTAGGACTGTCGTCGGTCCGTCCTGCGAAATTGAAAGATTCACACTATTCACCATTTGCCCCCCCAATTTCGTCAGGATCGACGCGGATGCTGCTGTCAGTTACAGCTGGCATGGGACGTCGTTGATCGTCCACCAGGTAAGTATGATGAACTTCACGAACATCGTCGGGATGAACGTCAACGAGTGGAATGAATTCCCGAAATCCGGAAGACGTGGTTGGAATAGGTGGATCAGGAGCGGCTTCACGTGCACCGTCAATGTCAGGTTCTTCGCTGGCAGCGAGTTCGGCGTCAGCACTGGCGAAAGAGCGAACACCGTGGAAAAGTGTAGCAGGGTCACGCTGCGTGGCGAGGTACTGTTCGAAGACAGGAAGGGTCAGATTTTCGTAGAAAATACAGTCGCGGGCAGGAATTAAAAGTCGACTGCGATAATCCAGAATACGCCATGCAGAAAACTGCTTCTCAAGGCCGAGATGAAGACCCCACTTAGCACGTTGATCGAACTTTCCGAGCGGAGCGGTGGGAGGACGATATTGCACAACACACCCAAAAACTCGAAGATGTTTCGTAGTGCCCAATTTTCCTGTCCATAACAAGTGAGGCGATGCGTTGTTTGGTAAAGACGATGAAGACAGGAGGTTGTGCAACAGCGTTGCGTGGTCCATCGCAAAGGGCCAGTAGAGTGGGCCGAGTTGAGACTGTGCGAGTAGTGCTCGCATCTTTTCTTGCAAGGTACGATTGAGGCGTTTAGCTACACCGCTCTGCTGGTGAGCGTGAGGAAGTGAGAACAGGCGCCGTATGCCTCGTTCTTGCAGGTACGCTGTAAACTCGAGGCTGCGATATTCCCCAGCTCCGTCACACTGGAAGCTTTTGAGTTTTGTGTCAGACTCGCGTTCTGCGAGAGGAAGCCATGTCTGAAACGCTGTGAAAGCAAGAAAACGGTTAGTCATGTTACCATTCCAGACGTATCGAGTAGAAGCTTCAGTGAACGTGATAACATATTTCTCGCCGTTGAACCCTTCCGCAGGTAAGTTGAGAATATCGCTGTAAACTTTTTCCATCAATCGATAATCCTCAGCTCCAGGAAAATGAGTCGGGTACGGTTCGTGCGGTAGATTTGCTGCTGGGCAGATCAAACAGGGTGATGGACGATTAACCGGTTTCATTTCGAGGCCGCCAGGTAAGAGAAGAGAATTTTTGTCGAGAACAGCTGCTTTGATTGTGTTGTTGAGCGTAGATTGCGACGGATGACCAAGACGCTTATGCCAGGTTTCTGCAGTTGTTTTGTGTCCTTGTGCGCGCAGATAATAATCGGCGTTAGCGAAGAAAGATAACAGCAGCCGATGACCGTCAGCGTGAACATGATCTGTGACTGGTGGAATAAACCTGGTAAGGTTAGGAGGTGGTATTTTGATTTCGACGTCGATGGATTCGCCAGGTGAAAGAACCAACTCCCCGCTTTCTTGATCTGATGCTGTAGGTTTAGGCTCAACACCGATAAATCGTCCGGAGTCGAGGACTTCCATGTCAGCGACGCGCTGCTCTGCTTCAGTGAGAAGACGTCGATCACTATCAGCCGGTGTTTCTCCCCAAGTGGTTTCGTCAGGTTCCTGTGCCCCCCAAGTGCCTTCACTCGTGGGCATATTCGTCGTATCTCCCCAACCACCAGCAAGATAATCTCGGGAGTTCTGGACGTCGTTCAAACCTTGATTGTCGAAGGTCAGCATGACTGCGGCAGCCGTGGTCGAAGACGTGGGTACAACTCCATCACGAGGAACGGTATCATTGGTGTAATCGATGTCATCACGATGTTCCCATGGGCCAAGAGAGAGAATATTCTCGGAGTCGGCAGTGGTGCGTTCAGGTATGAAGTTGAGAACAAACACACCGTTCTGTTCAATTGCCGTGCCGAGTTTCTTGTCTCCATATTCTAAAGTAAACTTGCCCGGTTCACCAAGAAGAGTAATGCCATTCCTCATGAGCTGTGCAGATGACATCAGATTGAAGCCAAGTCGAGGAACGAGGAGTACATCGTTAAGATGAAGACTGAAATCTTCGTCAACAGAATCAAGAATGACGTTACCCATCCAGTGCGCTGTAAGACGTTGATTGTTGGCGACGGTTACAACGCATGGATTCTGAAGACGACGCTGATTGATGACGAAGCGATTTTCTGATGAACACATATGCTGGCCGCAACAGCTGTCAAGATACCAAGTGTTGGGCCCTTCCAAGGTATGTGCAAGGTTGGCGTAGACCTCGGGTGGTATGGGCGTGTTGAGTTCATCATTGAAGTTATTGTGAATACGTTCCTCAGCGTCAGGATCGTAGACTGTAGAAACTGACGTCATACAATTAATAACTTCTTTCGCTTGTGTCTTGGCAGGTGTAGTAGGCGGCTTCGCAGAGTTCGGCTTCGCAGTATTCTGCTTCACAGCTTCCTGCTTCTCAGCTGCCTGCTTCTCAGCTTCCTGTTTCTCAGCTTCACCTGAAGAATCTTTGGAATGTTTCGGTGTAGTCCGCTTCCAAGATGGTTTATCTTTCGACCAGCAGGTATCAATAGTATGTCCTGCTTTGCGACAAAAGGAACAAACGGGTTTGTGACGTGGATTAGAGTAAAAACTGACTGTGTTGTTTACCACCTTTTTCCCTCCTCGAGCGTTGTGCAGGTCCATATCCTGCTGCTCGGCGATGAGAGCGGCACAGAGTGCCCCCTCGGACAACTGTGCTTGCATCCGAAGTATAGAGCGACACTGTCGCCATTCTGGTCCAAGACCCGCGAGTAGCACCGTGTGAAACATAGCGTCGGGGAAGTACCCTCCACACTTCTGAAGTTGATCACGCAAATTTCGAGCGCGGTTGATATACTGCGTCACCTTCTCGCCGTTTATCATCTGTATATTTGACAGCTGCGTCAAAATTTTACTCTGGTTGACAGTGTCCTTTGCCATGTGAACCCCTTGCAGGTATAACCAAGCTGCTTCAGCAGGAGCGGCACTGGTATGAAAAGAACGAATTCCGAGCTGTTCAGTCGGTGTCAGATTACGAACGAGAACTGTGTATGCAGTCAGCGACGCCGATCGAAAAGTGGCTTGTTGAAGGGGGGACCCGTGAGATGGAAAGGGTGCTGTGCCGTTGTCCTGGGGGGTTATGGGCGCACTGACCCGCTACTTAACAAGCCCTTTTATCCCAATGGTCTAGTGGTTGGGATTCTGACACGTACAGCTGCCAGAACCCCACGGTCTGAACAAGAAGCTCAAACTCAAAGCTCCAGGTATAAAAGTCTTGGCCGTTAAAAGGCATTGTCGTTTTAATTTTCGTTGGATTTGCAGAAGCAGGAATATAATTTCCGGTACCGTCAGCTGATTGTAGCTGATAAAGTGATGGCACCTGTGACCCTTGTTGTGTTTGTTGTCCTTGTCCAGCAGGAACAAAAGAGAAGGAGTTGTTCGACCCGTCACTTCCTTGTGGCATCCGACCATGCTGATAACTGGAGCCATCAATACTCATAGGAGTTGGAAACATCTGGTTAAGTGACAAGACGGCAGCATTAACACGTTGTTGAAGATTAGCTGGCTGGTAAGCACCTTGATATTGATAAGGTCCAGTCGGTACGAAATTGGACTGTTGTCCTGGTTGACTAGAAGAACCAGTGACTGCAGCTGCAGCTGTTGTAGCTGCTGTTGCTGCTGTTGCTGCGGCTGCTGTCGATGATGCCGCTGCTGTAGTTGTGTGTACAGACTGATTGCTCAGTGGCATGCCGTACATCGGTTGTTGCTGATATTGTTGTTGTTGTTGTTGTTGCTGCAGATGTGAATTATCAGCAGCTGGAGACGCTGTTGGGCGTGATGGGCTCGTAACAGAAGAGCCGTTGTTGGACCGTGGAGATCCAGACATAGTTGTAGAGTATGTAGTTGGAAGTTTGTAGTATCCTAAGACGCTCTGATACCATATTAGAATCTGAAGTGAGTTTGTAGGATCGTACTACTTAGGATGGTAACTTCCTGACGTAGCGGAAGTCTTATATGAGTTAAGCCAGTTGTGAAGGCTTTGTCTAGACTTAATAAAGTCTATGTAGTGAAATGTTTCAGGATCAAAATGTCTCTGAAATCAGATATATTATAAAATGACAAACATACAAAATATATAGCTAAAGTACCTGTTCGCCTACTGTACTGTGCTATTCTTATCTTGAAACGGTACGTAACTATTCGCGAAGTCTATAGCTACGTGCTGATGTCATCCTAGGTCGCGTAACGCTTTGCTGACGTCAGCCTATCGGTACTTTACTGTACTACACGAATTTCCTTGAAGTGCTTTACGTCTCGATATTATCTCAACAGATGCAAGCAGAAGTATATGAGTGGCACTGAGAGAAGTGTGGATTGAAAACACATCGTTGTTGGTGCCCTACGGGAGTGCCTGAATGGAATATCGCCAAAGGTGGACACGCAGTTTCAGAGAGACTGCTAAAATGCCATGAATCCGTTAACATTATTGTTGTACACAGGATATTGAAAGTATGCACAAGAGATGTTGCTGAAACACATGTTGTGAGAAGAAATGAGGAATGAATTGACTAAGGGAAAGTTGGGTACAAAAGCAAACCCTAGAAAACTGTACCCCATATGTGCTACCCCACTATAGCCTACAGTAGCTATGTCATATAAATCTGACACACCCCCATAGGCAAAGTGGGGGAGAACAAGGGGTCACAAGACCAGTCAAGCAAAGCAAAGCAAGCTCAGGGTGGATCACAAAGTCACCACACATTCCGAGCACAAGTTCAAGGCCACAAGGCCAGTTCACATGCAGGATTACATATATATATAAGGCTAGACAAGCAAGAGCAGGTGTATATATATATGCAACAGTACAAACAAGGTCAAGGGGTGAGCAAGTGAGGCAAGGTAGGCACAAGACCCAGCTGAGTACAGAAGCGCTGATGATCACAAGGCGCAAGTGCCTTGGTGAAGATATCAGCAGTGTTGGCCTCAGAGGCCACGTACGCAAGCCGCAGCTGACCACGCTGCTGTAGCTCACGAGCAAGGAAGTAGCGGAGAGCAATGTGCTTCGTTCTGTGCTCCAGTCTCTGCTCTCGACACAAGGCCAGCATGGCCTTGTTGTCTACGTACATCACTGGAGGAGAACGAGGCGGCTCTCCGAGGTCAGTCAGCAGGTAGGTGAGCCAGCGAAGCTCCTGTGCAGCCATGGCCCCGGCGTAGATCTCAGCCTCACAACTGGAGCCGAGAACAGAAGACGAGCGGGTAGCCCGCCACGAAACAGAGCCGGAACCAAGGCTGAAGGTGTAACCCTGTGACGACCGCTGCGTAGCCTGGTCGTCAGCCCAAGAAGCGTCTGCGTGCCCAGTGAGGACCACTGGACTCTGCCCTCCAAGCACAAGCCCCATGCCCGACGTACTGCACAAGTAGCGCAACACCCTCTTCGCTGCAGCCATGTGCTCCGGTCTGTGTCTCCCAGGAGCAACATAGCGTGCAAGAATGCTAAGAGGGTATGCAAGGTCAGGTCGTGTGCAGGTCATCAGGTACATGAGGCAGCCAACAAGCTCTGGGTACGGGCCACTCGACTCTACGGACTCATCCGAAGGCAGAGCTGAGAGCGAGTGGCGAGTAGGCAGAGGAGTGGCCTGAGGCGAGGAGTACGTGAAGCCGAAGCGCTGAAGGACCTGCTGCACCATGTGTGACTGAGTCAGGGTAATGGTGCGGCGTGCTCTGTCCCGGGTGATCTGCAAGCCAAGGTAGCTGCGCAGTTCACCCAGGTCTGTGCACGTGTGTCTCTTCTGCAGCTCGGACTTCACGTGGGCGAGTCCAGCAGTGTCAGCTGTGGCGAAGACCAAGTCGTCGACGTACACGAGGATGTAGAACGGCGGCAAAGAAGTGTCGGTGCGCAGAAACAGCGACGGGTCGGCAGTAGAGGGAGCAAACCCAAGAGCCGCAAGTGTAGTCCTCAGTGTATCGTGCCACTCACGCGGTGCCTGGCGGAGACCGTAGACTGGCCGCCGGAGGCTCCACTGGGTGCCAGGAGGAAAAGACCCAGTGAAGCCAGGTGGGCGACGCAGCCAGATCTCCTCGTGCAGGCTGCCCTGCAAGAAAGCAGTGCTGAAGTCAAGAGAGTGCAGCTCGTAGTCGCGGTGAGCAGCTATGTGCAGCAGTACCCGAAGAGTGGTCATCTTCGGGGTGGGAGAGAAGGTCTGAAGGTAGTCAACTCCCTGCCGCTGACTGAAGCCACGAGCCACGTAACGCGCCTTGAAGACAGGCGGAGAACCCGACGGCCGCTTCACCCTGAAAATCCACATGCCACTGACGATGTTCGCCCCAGGCGGGGGAACCTCGTCAACGTAGGTGCCTGTGGACTTCCAGGAAGCCATCTCTGCGTCCATAGCTGCCTGCCACTGAGAGGAGTAGGGACCCTCTATCGCCTCCGCGTAAGAGCGCGGAGTCGAGATGTCAAGTGCATCCGGGTCTCCCTCAGGGGTAAGCAGTACGGACACGAGATGAGGTGAAGCAGCAGCCAAACACTGGAACTCCTCCTGCTTGTCCTCAAGGACGTCCGTGCCAAGGGCACACTCACCCCCGACGGACGGAGGACAGACAGACTCAGACTCAGCAACAAGACTAGCAGCGTAGTCTAGACGACATCGAGCAGCAAAGTTGACGAGCTCAGTAACTAGGGCAGACGCAGCAGTGGACTCAAAGGAAGGGTCAGTGACAACAGTAGCAAGGAGACGCGTGACAGTAGGACTGGCAGCACGAAGAGAGTCCGACTCCGGGTCAGGAAGAGCAGGAAGAGAGGACTCAGGAGGAGAAGGCAAAGGGGCACGCAGAGGAGCAGTGGACGGACGCAGAGACATCCGGTGCGTGCCAGGGACAGGAGGAGGACGCTGACGCGAACCACGACCACTAGTGCGAGCAGCACGGACAGGCGACGCAGGGCGAGACGCAGGCTCACGACGCTCAGCAAGACCTCCAGTAGGACCAGTGTAGGGAGAAGGAGCGGGCAGTGGGGAGGCCGGCTGTAACTGTAACTGTGACGGGACAGGCTGTGGACACTCTAAGGGAGGAGGAGGACCAGTAGAAGGCGGGAGACCAAGAACCTGCTAAAGGAGAGAACGAAGTACGGCCTAGGCCGCGCGACGACTCCAGACACAGCAGGGACAGCACCAGTACCCCCAGCGGCAGCACCAGCGCCAGCAGCACCTCCAGCTCCAGTACCTCCAGCAGCACCAGTAGCACCCCCAGCAGGACCGCCTCCAGGACCGACAGCAGTAGCCTCAGCGCCAACACCCTCAGCAGCTCCAGCTCCAGTCGTACCCGCAGGCCCAGCAGCTCCAGTACTCCCAGTACGAGCACCTCCGGGACCCGCGGCACCAGCACCCTCAGCAGCCGAAGAACCTCCAGCTCCAGCAGCACGCCTCCAGCGCCGGTCAAACCACTCGCGCAGCTCCTGTGGAGAGAGTGGCTCCCGCCGAGACGAAGCACCCGGAGAACCTCCAGGCTCAGCACCGCCAGACGCCACACGAGCAGGCCCAGCTCCCTCAGGCTCCGCACCCCCAAGCTCAGCACCTCCAGGCGTGGCACCCCCAGGCTCAGCACCCCCAGGCGTAGCACCCCCAGGCTCAGCACCCCCAGGCTCAGCACCCCCAGTAGTAGCACCCCCAGGCTCAGCACCCCCAGGCTCAGGACCCCCAGTAGTAGCACCCTCAGGCTCAGCACCCCCAGGCGTAGCACCCACACGCTCAGCAACCCCAGAGTCAGCACCCCCAGGCTCAGCACCCTCAGCAGCACCAGAGTCACCAGTAACCTCGACAGGCTCGACTGCGTCTACCTGGGACACACCTGAAGGGGCAGGACCCTGAGGGGGGAGGGGGTCTACCGGGGGGGGACCTGGTACAAGGAAGAGCGGTGGCGGGGGGAGGGACGGAGTGCGGTAGGGGAAGAGGCGGTAGTAGGGGACCGACTCGTCAAACGTGACGTCCTGGGAGGACAGAACACGGCGAGAGGTGGGGTGGTAGAACTGCCACCCTGGCGCGTCAGGGGGGAAGCCAAGGAAGATGCAAGGAGCAGCACGAGGGGACAGCTTGTCCGCAGACAAGTCGCGGACAAACGCCCGAGATCCCCAGACACGGAACGCAGACGCATCGCCAACCTTCCCCGTCCACAGCAAAGCTGGGGAGGTCTCCGGCCTGGAGACCCTAGGGTGAAGGTTGATCTGATGCGCCGCGTACCGAACCGCAAACGGCCACAGAAAATGGGGGGCAGCCGCATGCATCATGGACGTACGGGCGACGTCCATGACCATGCCAATGCGGCGCTCAGCAATCCCATTTTGCTGTGGAGAGTCCGGAAGCGTGAAGGTCTGGCGGATGCCTCGCGCACGACAGTAGGCTCGCAGAAGGCCAGAGGAGAACTCTCCACCTCTGTCAGAGTGCAGACGCAGAACAGGAAAGTCCGAGCCGAAGCTCTGCCTGAGCTGGAGACGAGCTGCGCGGATCCAGTCAATCAACACCTCAGTGACATCACCCTTGCTGCGCAAGGGGAAGACTGTGGTGTAACGCGAGTAGTCGTCAACCACCAGCAGGAAGTAGCGCTCGTGACCCTGTCCACGGACGCGGGCCGGGCCCCACACGTCCATGTGAAGCGTCTGCAGTGGGGCCTCTGTCGGAGGAAACTGGGAGGAGTGAGGGGCAGCCCGCTGCCGCCCCTCGACACAGGGGACGCAGGTAGGGCCAGGCCCCGGAGGAAGGGGAGGGAGGGACCGGGGAAGACCAGAGACAAGGACACGGGAGGCCATGCCTCGGAGACGAAGCAGGGAGGGGTGACCAAGGCGGTGGTGCCAGAGGAGAGTCTCATGAGACAGGAGGCGACACGAACAGGGGGCAGACTCAGGACCAGACCTGGACGCTGCAGCAAACACCTGACCCGACGCAGCTACCTGACCAGACGCAGTGACTGGAGGAGACGCAGTGGTCAGTGTGTACAGGCTCGACCCCGGCCGACGTGTAAACGTGGCCAGGTGTCGGCCTGTCCGAGCGTCCGTGCAGTGGGTCACCCGCTGACTCGCAGGAGTGAACTGGTGAACCCCCGCATCCTGTAGGTCAGCACCACTCACCAAGTTCGTAGAGAACGAGGGGAGGTAAAGACCAGACAGGGTGCCAGAGGGGGCCGCCGGACACGGGAGGACAGTGGAGAAGTGAGCAAGGACAGGACCCCCAGAGGGGTCTGCCAGGGAGACCGCAACCGGCCGACTGAGCGGCGTAAGCGTGGTGCGGTCTCGAAAGAAGGAGCGGGAAGCACCCGAGTCAAGAGTGATGGTGTGTAAGGCCTGAGACGACGTGGTACCTGAGAGAGCAGACTCACCAGCACCTGGGGCAGCAGACGCACTAGCACCTAGAGCAGCAGCCTCACCAGCACCTAGAGCAGCAGCCTCAATGCCCGGGTCAGGCGGAACACACAGGTAACAGTCACCCTCATCACTAGTAGGCAATGCATACATGGCAGTGAGGATAGCATCATAGTCAAGAGTATAGATATCTACCCGCAGCCGAAGCAGCTCCACCCAGTCGGGGAGCTCAGCCGCGTCGCCAAACTCCATACGCCAGGCGTCGCTCAGACGGGCGAAGCAGCGGGACTCTGCGTGACCCAACGTCCCGCAAGGCTGACCAGTCCGAGCACCAGTGCGAATGACGTACGAACAGCGAGCAGTACCCCGTGACCCGTCACGATGAGCGTACCACTCACGAAGCTGCTGGGGCGAAAGGACAGCAGTACGGGCAGGGCAGTGCTCACCAGTGGCGCGAAGGGCAGGCGTACGACGGCGGCAACGGCGAGGCCGCTACCACTGTAGAGCGAGAGCTCCGCGGCAGCTGCAGGGGTGGCTGCTCCAGGGGCGGCAGTTGTAGGGGCGACTGCTCCAGAGGCAGCTGCTCCAGGGGCGGCTGCTGCAGTGGCGGCTGCTTCGGGGGCGGCTGCTGCAGTGGCGGCTGCTCCAGGGGCGGCTGCTGCAGTGGCGGCTGCTCCAGGGGCGGCTGCTGCAGTGGCGGCTGCTCCAGGGGCGGCTGCTGCAGTGGCGGCTGCTCCAAGGGCGGCTCGGCTGCTGGGCGACTCGGCGGCTCAGCTGCTGGGCGGCTCGGCGGCTCGGCTGCTCGCTAGGGGCGGTGACGGGGCCGGGTAGGGGCAGCGACGGGGCCGCTAGGGGCGGGGAGCGGCGACGGGGCCGCTAGGGGCGGCGACGGGGCCGCGTAGGGGCGGCTACGAGGCCGCGTAGGGGCGGCGACGGGGCCGCGTAGGGAGGGAAGCGGCGACGGGGCCGCTAGGGGCAGCGACGGGGCCGCGTAGGGGCGGCTACGAGGCCGCGTAGGGGCGGCGACGGGGCCGCGTAGGGAGGGAGGCGGCGACGGGGCCGCTAGGGGCGGCGACGGGGCCGCGTAGGGGCGGCGACAGGGCCGCGTAGGGAGGGAGGAGGCGACGGGGCCGTTAGGGGCGGCGACGGGGCCGCGTAGGGGCGGCGACGGGGCCGCTAGGGGCGGCGACGGGGCCGCGTAGGGGCGGCGACGGGGCCGCGTAGGGAGGGGAGCGGCGACGGGGCCGCTAGGGGCGGCGACGGGGCCGCGTAAGGGCGGCGACGGGGCCGCGTAGGGGCGGCTACGGGGCCGCGTAGGGAGGGGAGCGGCGACGGGGCCGCTAGGGGCGGCGACGGGGCCGCTAGGGGCGGCAACGGGGCCGCGTAGGGGCGGCGACGGGGCCGCGTAGGGGCGGCGACGGGGCCGCGTAGGGAGGGGAGCGGCTACGGGGCCGCTAGGGGCGGCGACGGGGCCGCGTAGGGGCGGCGACGGGGCCGCTAGGGGCGGCGACGGGGCCGCGTAGGGGCGGCAACGGGGCCGCGTAGGGAGGGAGGCGGCAACGGGGCCGCTAAGGGCGGCGACAGGGCCGCTAGGGGCGGCTACGGGGCCGCGTAGGGGCGGCAATGGGGCCGCTAGGGGCCGCAAGGGGCCTGGAAGGGCGGCAACGGGGCCACTAGGGGCGGCGACGGGGCCGCTAAGGGTGGCGCGAGGGGCCGTGAGAGGGGCCTCTAAGAGAGCTCGACAGAAGGGCGGCCCACAAGGCGCGCCTCGGGCAGGAGCGACTGTCGCTCCGGTCAGAAAAAAAGGTTTCAGTGGTGGGCCCAAGGAAGCGTTCCCACTAGGGAACCTGCTCTATACCATGAGAAGAAATGAGGAATGAATTGACTAAGGGAAAGTTGGGTACAAAAGCAAACCCTAGAAAACTGTACCCCATATGTGCTACCCCACTATAGCCTACAGTAGCTATGTCATATAAATCTGACATGTTGTATAAAAGGTTGAGAGATCAACCAAAAAGGGTGGATGCTTGATGTCACAGTCAGGGTAATTGTCGTGTCACTGCTGTTGGGCTGATAAAAGCCCTTAGGATCTTTCAAGGCTAAGACTTTTGGGTATAGATGTTGTATTTTGCGGAAGCGTACAGTAATATTGTTGAACCACCTTGCACTAGTGTGTGAGAGCAAGATGAATTGACTAAAGCAAAGAGATACAAGAATATATATATATATGATTACAAGGAATACGAAGAGGTGCAATTAATTGTTTTTTGCTGTTGCGGTTCGATACAGTGACGACTCGGGCAACTGCTCAATACCGAGTCAGTTGTTCGTCCTTGCTGTCGCGCTGTATTTCGTCGAGTCAAAGGTTGCTGACCTTTGACCTTCGCGTAACCTCCAGCTGTTACGTTTGTTGATTCACGTGTTGCTTCATTGTAGTCTGCTTCGTTCGTGTTATTACTTCGATACTTCAGAAGCGTTATATTTGTTGGAAACAAGTGATTTATAACGCTTCTGTCGTATCGAAGCTTCGACACAAAACGGAACTGACTACAGCGAAGAAGCACTCGAGTCAACCAAGGCAACCGTCGGAGGTTGCGCGAAGGTCAAAGGTCTCCGACCTTTGACCTGACGAAACGTACAGTGCGACAGCAAGGACACATAACTGACTCGTTA